AGAGAAACAGTTGCGAAGGAAGAACTGAAAAAGCTTATCTCTGATTAACCTAGACTATAATCTTTTTTTAATTTGAAATAACTTTTTTTTTTATTGTTCAATTTAAGAGTTATAACATTTTTTCACAATTGAATTCTACATCCAATGACATATTAATAATTCTTTCATAGAGCAAAAAGTAGAACAAAATTTTCTATCTATTGGTGTCAAATACTTTACTTTTAGCATTGACTTTGATGAGACAAAGCTTATATTTATCGATAAATGTCAGTAGAAAATAGCAAATCGTAGTTAAATAATTAATTAGGGACTTACAAAAAAGAACTTATTTGTAAAGCAAAGTTCATAGTGTGACAGAGCTTGGAATTTTCTATTTTTTAATACAGAAGTGAATAGTCTTGATCAGCAAGTAAACAAAAAATTTAAAAAAATTTAGAGCAATTTCTTATGATCCAAACATTATTACGATGCATCAGGATGTCCAGGCAAACCATGGGCAGACGTACTTCTTTGAACGACTCTCTCATTGCAATTTTGGCAGACGCTTCTATTTGTGGTATCATATTAAAGATAAAACGTAATAAATCGAGCATTACAGAATGCTAAAGTAGTAATAAAAGTTAAGACGATTAGGTTGAAACATGGTTCGAAGAAGATACATTCATTTTTTAACAGTACAATCAATTAGAATCGATTTTTTTTCGTTAATTTTATGTCTCCAAATCTGTTAAAGGTATGTTTATGGAATAGCAAGAGAACAAAAACTCCAATGGCTGTTTTTTCAATGTATGAAGTCTATACAGAGATTAATAAAAAAAGTATCGAAGATATCAATCCTTTATGAAAGCATTTAAGAAAGTCAAGATGCATAAGAGTACACTACATGACTGAAGCAAGTGCTATTGAACAATCATTAACTTCATATTGATTGGTAATATCGATACCATGTACAGAATACCTTGCATACTATGAATAGTGAAAACAAGTAATTATTAGCTAGAAGAATTGCTTGTTAGATCTATATCGGCGAATTATAATACAGAAGATTAAATCTCACTTACATCCGCATGCACGAATTCTCTATTTCAACAATCATCATTGCTGAATCCAAAATTGGTGAAATGAATTCCTTCATTCACTTTTATTAATAGGTCCTGTATATGTTAAGCTAAATTTGACTGATCGTGTTGTGTATTGAGATATTGATTGTTTTCTTTGATAATCATGAAGATGTGTAATATTTTGGGAATGTGGATGCGAAGTTTTCTTCTATCCACACAAACATCAACACGCCTAGTCATACTGGTATTTTCTTCTAATATGGAACAGCTTGTATGAACAATTATCATTTTATATAACTCACAAAATGATCGATAGAAACATGTCGAATTTTGATAGAAGACGTTCGAAATGACAAAAACGAGAAAATTTGGCTGTGATTGTTGATTCAATGAACACTTACGGCTTAGTTTCTCTTTAATTAACTGGGAAAACAAACAAATTTCTGACTTCAAAAACTTTCATTCTTCAGAATTCGATGAAAATGAACGAATTTGTTTCTGTAATTCCTAAAAAATGTATATATATATATCATATACGAACTTAAAAACTTAGACACAATTTTCCAACAGAAATGTAATAACTTTTCAATCTTTAGATTTCGTGTCACATGAAAAGAGATTGGTTTTATTTTCTAGAAACTGAAAGCTCGTGTACGATTATTATTCAGCACTCAGCATCGTATTAATAATCATAATACAAGGAGGAAGTGAAGGAATTCGAAAACATGATGGGAGATGTGAGTAGATCTGTATTGTTGGCATGTGAGTTAGAGATTTGGATTCTCATTGTGAATTGTTGGCAATAAGTGCGAAAAAAAAACCATCTTCCCCGACTATTGTCATACTCCACCCCCATCCACACATTACTATCAACAATACGGCAGCACTGATGATTTTCGATGGTACATGGTTTCCCAGCCGTATCTACTGTCACACTCTACTGACACGGAGGTAACCTTGAAAGCAAGGTAGGTACACAATCATTACATCTGAAGTTTGGGGAAGTAAATCGTTGGTTGATGGCTTTTTACTGAGGGAATCGATCAAATCTTCGGAAAAATATTGAACAGAAAAGAAAGACACTTAAATTCCGCTGAAGAAAAATAGAACTATTGCAAGATACGGAACGGAGTCGTCGCTCCCGAAGTCCCGCTATGAAGGTGTTTGTTTTTCTTTACTTTTATACATTTTTTCGGTTTTGCTTGAGCCATATAATGTTGAAGAAAAATAAATAAAAGAATTGTGAAATAGTTCTTTATTGACGTGTCGTAACATGCTGTATGCCAGCATAGTCAATATAATCTCCTAGTTACACCTTAAGAACTCAATTTTTTACTTGAAAGAAAACGCCTCCATAATTTCAAATAATTATTTATCAAGAATGTGGATGTGGATGTGGGTGTGACTGTCTGGCTGAAGTGAACAGACCCGCACCCGCACCCACATCCATACCATATAAATATTTCAGCTGATTATGGTGTCTTCAATGTAAACAAAAAGTGTTTTTTTTAAATTTTTAATAAAAGATTTTATTCTTGTGTATAATATCAAAGAAATTTGATTCGGTCTAACTTGATCTGCTAAACAATAGTAGTGTATTATGGAAGGTGGAAGAAATCTATTTGAATTGATTTGTAATGAACCGAAACAAATTAAGTCTCAATTCCATAGTCATTTGATACTGATCAGTATGGTGTCCATCTCTCTCCCTCACTGGTTCTCTTTCAGCCACAGTAGCCTCGAAGAAAACATCGTCGATGTCAACCAATCTTCACATGCCTGTGATGAAAACATTGTTCGAATCAGACGTTGTGTCCGATTGTTGTCGAGTCAAAACGAGAACCAGCGTAAGAATAGCGACTGGACAGCTAATAAGTACGATCGACGCTAGACAAAGACAACGAGAGACAAACGAGGCGTGGTCGTTATTATTCGTAGAGCAACGAATATCGTCGTCGTACTGCTGGCTACGTCATTTTAATGTTGATCATTTTACCTTGATTCATATGAAAACTTTATGCAAAAATATGATGTAGACCTCAAGTTTTGAGTTGCATATGCATCTAATTCATTGCATTAACGACTTGAATTGAGATTCCTTATCTAAACCATCATCGTAACACACATCCCCTGCAATAGGTGAAAATTAGAATACACTTCGCCAATTCTTATCTACTTCTTCATGTGAACCGTAATGCTCTTGTTTGTTATCGCCTATGTAAGACTAAAGGTGAACTGATGATTCTTATCTTCAAACTTCATTCAACATGTCATTAGTAGTAAAACATGTTTTTTCATTTTTCATAATAGTTGGGTATGTCTAGAGTTTTTTAATTAAAATACACTCCAAAAGCTATCGATTTTCGAGGAAAGTTTCTTTTGAACCCAAAAAAATGTGTTCTGATGCGAAGTTTGACAAACATGTTTCTTATCTGTTCTATAACCAAAGACGAGTATTTTACATCCTATACCCACTTGATGAAAGTATGCGATCCACTGTGTGAATGTATTCCATGCAGCCAAGATCTAAGAATATACTTTACTCTTTTCGGGGAAATGGTAAGTGCAAAGTATCTGCAGAATGGCTAGGATGGTGTATGTTACTATTCGAATCCAAAATTTCGTTGACTAAGCGATAGTGAATTCGACAAAATACATAGGGCAATGAGGAATGCTGAAACTCAGTGAGTTCAAGAATCGGAGAAGCTGACTTTTTTAAATTAGAGATAAGGAGGTTATTCATGCATAATTAATTCATCAAGTGTTCACGATAGTTGTTTTGATTATTTCTAGTAAATTTAATCCTTTCTAATAATTTATTAAAAGCTATTTTTAACTTCTTTTTCAAAAAAATGTTTAGCTACTTTAGAAACTACATGAACACATCATTTTTCATTTGCCTGGTCGGTTTCAAGAATTCATCTTAAAATTTAGCAAAGATCGTGTCAGTTGGGTACCATTACTACGAGTGATGAGATATGAATTAATTTTTTTAGACAGGTTGATAGCAAGTCATGTGATGTTAGCTGGATTAGTGGAGATGAATCAGCAAAGACTGTTGTTCATAGGGATAGATTTGAACCAAAACTTTGTTCTGTATGTTCTTTAAATCAAATAGTTCTGTTTTTATACATAGTGTCGATAATGGCAAGACTCTAGGTTATAAGTATTATATTAAAAATTGTCTAAAGCCTTTTTTTTAATGAAATATGGAAGCAAACAGAGATATCAGATTCAATATGTATAGAATTGCTTAACGATCATCATTGATTTCGTATTCATCCAATGTTATTAGTTATTTGAGAGAAAAAGGCATCAATATAATGTCACATCCGCCGTATTCGTTGAACATAGTACTGCATAGTCTTTTATTAAATAATTCTATCGATCGAAGTTAAACTGATTAAGTAAATGAAATATGATGTGCTCATGCGCTTTCTAAGGTAGCTAGAAATTTTTTCGAAAAAAAAAGTTCAAAAATAACTTTCAATAAATTATACTTATCTTTATATTTGTATTTAACGATATTAGAACTTTTGGTCAGTCCTAAGTATGCTAATAGCGTTCGTAGAATATACACTTACAATATGTATTTGATCTGCGACTATAGATTCAAATCATTTGAAGCATTTAGAAAATCCAATCTACGAAACAAATATCGTGAGTCTGCATTACCTGTGAATCAAGTAGCTTATTGGAGAGATTATACGCATCGAACCAAAGACGATCATGTCTATATCGGGCATTATTACTTGTAATCAGTTAGCTTGTCCATTACAAGACAATGAAAACAACTCGAACAAATCTTTGTTGAATATTATTGTAAAATGTTATCGACTGAATGATAACGAATTGAAACTTACAGTGAGAGATCTCCTATTGGAAGAGAACAGATCGATAGAAACGATTACATGTACAGTTAAAAAATCAAAATCACAAATGAATTACCCGCACCGAATTCAACCTATTCTTTATACATGTGATTATCTTATTGAGAATTTATCAGCAGGTATTTATTCAGTCTTTGCATTTGAAGACTGTGACGAAGCTCATGGATCCTTTTGTTATCCTCAAAAACAAGCATTCGGATGGAGTACCAGTGAAATACTCAGTAAATGGACTCAACATACTATCTATAATTCAAATACAGCTATTATAAATGCTAATATTATACTGCGTAAACCACATTCATTCTTCTCTGCTGGCTATCCGATCAAAACGGAAACTGCACGATTTTATACAATCAATCGAATTCCCATCTTACAGTTGAATTCAACGACACCTGTTGATCGTGGTTATTCACATGGGTATTTATTAGCTCCCCATATACTCGATTGGTTTTATTTCTACTTATTAGAAGAGAATTTCGAATCAATATCTAAATATCAAGAATTCTATGCATTGGTGGATCCAGCTTCAAACTTCTTTCATTATCCTGTCGATTATTTGCTCGAAATTCAAGGAATCATTCAAGGAATGCAAGCACGGACGGATTGTAATTTATTTCTCTATGAATTCGATCGACCTTTTGATCGTATTGATTTGCTTGCAATGAATTCATATATTGAGAGGCGAACAATAAAAACAGATCCTCGGACAGATGAGATGGTAAAAAGTACCATCGACGATGCTGTCAATTATCCCAATTGTAGTCAAGTTGTTGTATGGAATCGTTTAACGACTGATAAACGAATAATTGCAGGTCGTAATATGGATGGTGAATGTGATATTCGTCGTGTCACTGTATCAACTACTGTTTTGTTTGCTGTGAACAGTTCAGATAAATCTAAACAATATCGTTATATTAGTTTAATGTGGCCTGGTATGATTGGCACACTATCAGGAATAAATGAAACAGGCTTATATTGTATGGAAAATGCTGGACCATCTCAAATAGGAGGTCAAATCAAAGGCTTAACACCAGTTTCCTATATTGCTACTCATGTATTAAGAACTTTGAATGCTCACTTCGCCACTATAACTGAAGTGAAAAATGCTTTCGAAGCATTCGTATCTGATCCAATACTCAACAATGATTCAAAAATATGGCCGATCAAAAGAGCTCCAAGTGAATTGAAAGGTCCAATATGTGGTCCTGGAAGTGTGTTTGTACTAACTACAATGTCGAATGAAGGTGGCAATGCATGTGTATTAGAAGGTGATCGATATGGTGGACGTATCAGAACATCAATGCAAGCAATACCTCTAATACCTGATTGTATAATAGCAACGAATCATTTTCATCTTTATGATTTTACTTCTTCATTGCATGATAAACATTGTAATTTTGACTCGGATGTAAGCTTTAGTTCACTGCATCGATATGAAAGTATGAGACATCGATTAGAAATGGAATTTCGCTTAAAATCGAATGTCGTTCATTTAAATGTTGAAAATATTCTTTCACTATTACAATCAGCATGTGAAGGTCGAACTGAACATACAATCGAGGTTGAACTTGAAACGAATGGTAATATTACAATTCATGTTCATTTGGCAGCGTCCATATTTGGACTATGGTATGTACCATATGAGCCTGCACGCACAATTCAATTCGAAGATTTATTTACATGACTGCTCATCGTACAATCTTATTCTTCCTCTAAATTTAACCAAGAAATGAAATAGATGAGGTGCGCTTTTCAGTTTGTCTTTCATGTATACCTTCATGTAGTATTGAATCTGAACTAACTTTGTCAGTAACAGTACAATACACAAGATGAGATGTTCCTTTCTTTTCTTATCTGACGATTGATATAATGGAAAGCCTGCCGATTTTGAAAATGTTTCGCATTCAACCTTCTACTTTTTCTTGCCGCCTTTTTTCCATCGTTATATCCTTTCTATCTTGTGATCCTGAAGAATTCTTAAATTGAAATCTACTTTCATATTCTTTTGTCGGTCAATAAAGAGTACGACCAATATACTACAGATCATTCACCATGTGAACGTCCTTTTCAGACGCAAGATTTAAAAAAGACGAGGCTTCTTCATTTCCTTGATGAATGTTTTTTCGGCTTTTCTTTTGTATTCGTATCAATTCTCTGCAATCTCAAGTTCCTTGATCTTAATCACATCTGTTTGAGTAACAATCAGCCACGAAGCATTTGATTCGTTTTTACTGCCTATTACAACGAAGCGTCAACAGTTGCTACTCACGATAATCACGAGATATGGGTGTAAATATGAATGAAGAATAGTCGCACATCCACATCGCACACCGACACCCACAATCCACATCTACCCACACCACACACCCACACACACATGTAATACTCCAACTTCATATATAATCTATCCCCCATCCGCGATTGAAATTTATTCACCTCGTTGTTCTTCTATAAGTGCTTTGAAGCTACACTACTAGTCTGTCGTTCTCTGATACATAATGTTATCCATAAATGGAATAACCGTTATATCCTTTTTCGTTCTGTACATGTACTTTGGAATGACATGCTTGGTATGTCTTCCTCTCGTGCATAATGTTATCCATAAAAGAAATAACCATAATATCCTTTCCCGTTCGTTATGTACTTTGGAATGATATTCGTGGTGCGTTCTTCTCTCGTACATAATGTGATTCATAATTATGACGTAGCCTTTGTTCTCCTCGTATTTTTCTGTTACCGTGTTTACTGTGCTTTTCGAGGTTGTTCTGTATATACGAAGAAGTATATAAGGAACGAGGAAAATACAGTATATGGACGTTTTTCTTGTTATACCAATAAAATATACTTAGAGTAACTCTTAAGTGATATCTATTACATCAAAAATTGTCACAACATCCCACACCCACATCCCGCTTCTATGCACCTGCTGATTAACTAACCATTTTTGTTTCACTTGAATGGGTATCAAATTATTCGTCCAAGGAGAAACTAATTTGTCTTAATAGAAAAGAAAGAGTAATCAGTAATAAAACGATGCTGTTTTGCATTTTCTTTTTGTTTTTGTCATTTTTCTTGCATTTTGTGACTGATGTGCGCATATCGTTGAAAAGAGTGTAAAAAGCGGCAATGACTATGTGAATACCGACTGAGAGTCATACAGGCCTTATTTCTTGTAAGAAAATATGCGTCTATTTCGCGTCTTACTTACAGAAAGCAAAAAAATACCATTTTTTTTATTATTACTTCTCTTATCTTTGCTCTATGTAAATACAGTACACTAAATGAAAACAGCATGCTTTCGCATATAGTTTTGTAGTTCTGCTCTTTAGATTTAATTTAATTTATATATTTTCTGTACCCAATACATGTCGCAAACAAGCGTTGCTGAGCAAGCTGCTGCACCAGTTGTTAGTGAATCACCAACTGTTATAGAACGGTGGGAACGAGATTTTTCACAGACAAAAACTGATGGTATCACATATGATTACATTATTATTGGCTCTGGCTCTGCAGGTGCTGTCTTAGCTAATCGTCTGTCGGAGCAAAGTGATAAACGTGTTCTTCTTATTGAAGCTGGTGGTGTTGATACAATGGACCAAATACATATACCAGCTGCCTTGTAAGTAAACGCTCGATCAAGTTGAAATAGTTAAAGTATCAGATACATTATGATTAGTTTCGACCAAAGACGCCTGTTCTTAAAGCTTTACGTTTCTTATAGGATAGATTTTTCAATAAAGAAAATACGATCTTTTCATTGGTACTATTGCAGCTTCTGATAAAAAGCCGTGATTTTTGAACTCTGCATAAAATATTGTCATCAAAATTATTGTAAACGCAAAAGAAAAGAGATTCGAACGAAAATCCTTTTTTTTTGTATAAACAAATCTCTAAGAAATGAAGGCAGGACTCTCATATAAAGTCTTAGTGTGGTTTCTTCGGTTGAAAGAATTTTGTGTTTCATAGATTGAAGCATGTCATTTTGTTATTGTTGTGTTCTAGCGGTAGCTGTCAGCGTGGTGACATTGATTGGCAATATAAGACTACACCTCAACTTTATTCACACTTTGGGTGTGTCAATCAACAAAGTAATTGGCCACGTGGTAAAGTTTTAGGTGGTTGTTCCTCTATAAACAGTATGCAATATGTTCGTGGTGATCCACATGATTATGATAATTGGCAATTGCCACAATGGTCATTTCAAGAAATGTTAAAATATTTTAAAAAATTAGAACACGCGGATCCGAATACAATTCAGAAGAATGAGCATTTTCGTAATCACGATCAGGACAATGGAATGATGGATGTAACAATGCTCGAAGAAGCCAATCCAATAAATCGAATGTTCATTGAAGCATGTGAAAAGAATGGATTTCGTGAAACTAAAGATTATAATGCCGAAGAAAGTCTCAATGGATGTGTATCAATGTCACAAATATCAACAAAAGGCGGAAAACGTTGGTCAACAGCAAGTGGTTATCTCTTGAAAGCAGTGAAACGAGAAAATTTTGATTTGTTAATACATGCACATGCTTGTCGAGTAGTATTTGATGAGCAAAAACAAGTATCTGGTGAGTGTAAAATTAGAAGCTTCGTTTTGAAAAACAGTTTTGATTGAGATTGTGAAAATCTTTTTACGAGTTTCTTTTCACTATATTCTGTTCGTAAAAATTTTCAAGATAGAAAACGAGAATTCCGTCTAAACTAGTATCTATCCCATTTTCCCTTTCGTTAGTAAAAACTCGTTTACAGCACATAGTGATGGTAAAGAAATTGCAAACTAATCTGAATTTAACAATAATTCTATTTCTTCCGTGTTAATTCTCACAATTAAAACTATTAGGAATGTTACGATCTTTTTTTTGATGACATCCATTGTAATTGATGTTTCAAAAAGTATTAGGAGTTTTACTTTTCAGAAAGTTTCATTTACTTTTGTTTTTTTTTGGATTCTAATTTTGAATGAAACGTTTTTTATACTTTTAGGAGTCATTGTTAAACGCAGTAGCTCATTGGACAAAGAAGAATTTATCAAAGGTAAAGAAGTGATACTATCAGCTGGTACAATTGGAAGTGCTCAAATACTTCTTCTCTCTGGTATTGGTCCTCAAGAAGAATTAGAGAAACATCAAATACCAGTGATCATGGATTTACCTGGTGTTGGTAAAAATTTACAAGATCATCTAATGGCTGTTCTAGTCTATCAAACTCGAATACCAACACTTTCAGTTCATGATCTAACATCCGAAAACTTACAAAAATGGGCAACTCAAGGAAAAGGTCCCTTAACGTCATGCATTATTGAATCACAATGGTGGTGTCAATTGAATGGAAATGGTAATTCAAGTCTAGACTCAATTTATTTTTCTATTAGTTCACAGTTTTACCTATAATTATCTATTCTTTCAGATAAAACACAAGTACCTGATATTCAAACGCATTTTGGACCGTGTACAATTGACGCTGAACTTTTGAAGAACTTTAACTATAAACTAGAAGTTTTTGAGCACTATTTGAAACCATGTTTAACAGATGAATTTCAATGGACTGTTGCATGCTTACCTACAATTCTGCATCCAAAATCAAAGGGTGAAATTACACTTGCAAGTCGTGATCCTCTCGAACATCCAATTATCAATCCAAATTATTTAGAAGATAAAGAAGATGTTCGTAAATTGGTTGAAGCATGTAAGCTAGTTGAAAAAATTTGTCAGACTGAACCGCTGAATAGTACACTCAAATCAATGGTGAAACAAATGAACGGAGACGAAACAACAGAAAATGTCGATCAATTTTGGGAATCGTTTATTCGAAAATATAGTGTTACAGTCTATCATCCAGTTGGTACGTGTAAGATGGGAAAAGAAGAAGATCCAATGACGGTTGTAACGCCTGATACACGAGTGAAAGGCGTGAGAGGTCTACGTGTTGTTGATGCAAGCATTATGCCGAGTATTATTTCGGGCAATACAAATATTCCAACAGTTGCAATAGCAGAGAGAGCAGCAGATTTAATTAAGAACAACTATTAAAAAAGATTGTGTTAGCTTTTTGCTACTAAAATAAATTTGATTAGTCTTAGAGATTTGATCATTTTTAAAGATACTTGGTGAGTCGACATTTACCTTTTTATATCTTACTGTGGTTCAATTCATACATATACATATATATATGTTTTTCGTTCTGATGTGAATTAATTGCAATGCATAATTAATCTTGAACTTGCAAATGCTTTAGTTTCTTTCAGGCAGAGAAAAAGCTTTAAAAATCCGTAAAAATCACATAGACAAAGCTTGACAGAACTAAAAGCTATAGGGGTAAAATACGAGTGCACTAGAACTCAGTGAACTTGAAATCAGTAGATCATTGAATAAAACATATACTTTCTAATAGTTTCATCAAAGGCAACTTAATCTACTGCAAAATCTATTTCTGCTCGTAAAAATTTCCTTTTCGTAACGGCCCGAAATAGATTATATATCGAATTCCTTTGATTCTGTAAAGAGACACTCAATAATATCAATCTGAAGTAGATGACATGTTGGAGATGAAGGTCACATTTGAGCGTTTTTCAATCGACGAAATTTTCGATGAAAAACTTGTTAAACAAATTACTACTTCATACTGTTCAATATGTTATTATATTAATTTATACTACCATGAAAAATACTTTCTCAGAACAAGTGAATCAATATACGTTGATTGTTTCACATAGAATCGAGTGCTCATCAATTGTCTATGTCCGCGCATAAATGAACTGAATGCATCAACAGAAAGTCAATTCTTTCTACCATAGTTCTGCATTCTTCCTTCTTGGATAGGACGAAGATGAACAAGATTTTAGTAAGATCAAAATATAAATTATTTTTCAATAACACTTGTCTCTCGAGCTCTCCGAAAAAGAACGACCTCAACAACAATGAACGAATCAGGTAATCATTTTATCATTGACTTCATCCACCATTGCCAATGAGCCATAATGAACCTGGCAGTTAGTCGATTCCAAAAATAGCGATATTCTCATTGATATTCAATTGAATTCGAATTTCACTTGCACATGTCATTAGATCTCAGAACTCATACTAACAAATTCTGTCAGAAACAACGCTTTCGGATCTCGCTCGAATATAGCCAAAGGAGACAACATCACTTTCTGAATAGGTCTGCTCCCTTTTTATTTGTGATGCAAAGCACATAACTTTTGAGTTCTGCTAAATGACATTTCTCATTTTTGTTTCTTTTGTTTATAAGGAAGCGTACTAATAGTGCCTTATTTGACCAGCATCAATAACAATGTTCGGAAACATGATTGTTGATCAGCATTCAAGTACATAGTTAGAAAAGTGAACTGTAAGCCCATCCTTGTCCTCTATCACTGCTGCACAGACCGTCACAGATAATTCAACATGGTGCTCCTTTGACCTTGTTGCAGATCGTAATCAATATGGCAAAGATCTTCATGTACAATTAGAGCAACTGCATTGTGTTTCACATTTTAGTTCCATAAGGATTGATCAGATAGCTTTTATTGAAACATAGAATATTTCATCAAAAAATACAATTTTCTTTCTCGAATATAACAACGTATAAATATACATAATTAGAAAATTGGCAAATGTTGATTCTATAATATATTACCTATTCAGTTTTGAAACCATGTCCTACCTCTTGATAATGACCATAACATTGATTTACCATAGATAAATTGTCCTGCAAAGAAATCTTGAATTTCTGTTTGCATCTGTGACCAAAACCCATCGTTTTCCATAAGTGTATAACACCATCCCAATAATTTATCACTATTTAATGATTTCATAATGCCAAAAAGTAAAGTACCAATACCACTTTTTGGTTTCTCTACATCAAGTCGTCGGTTAATATATTCAACACTATTTACCATTGCTGCCAGTCCGATATTGCCATAATAGTAAATACCATTTTCCTCATAAATATTTTGATTGTAGCTCTATAAGATATACTTTTTAAAATCATATTATAGAGCTTGAAAAACTCATTCTGATCTATCATATTAAAAAGTTTTTAAATATGACTATTTTTATTCAAATCTTTTAGCACATCTATAGGAAACTGCTGATAAAGTTTTACAAAGATTTTTGAGGATACCACATATTTGAATTGGACCATCATTTATCTTTTGTCATTACGATGCTTTGAAATGATATAAGGTTCGATATCAGACACTTTTCATGAAAGTAATTGGTTAAGACTTAGATCTGCCATGCTTTCCATCCGAAAGATTAGTACTGAAGAGATAGAAACGAATAAAATAGGAAACAATATATTACATCAATTCAGAACCATCTGTTGTACAAAATATTTAGAAATCTTCGCTTATCATAAATTCTCTTTTTATAAGCGAAAAACATGCGACATTCAACTTTTTGTTACTGAAGTAGATATAAGCAAAAGATCTTTCGGATGCTGAGCACCAGAAGTTAAATATAAAGACTATGACAGATAACGAAGAAATTTTCGCTTGCAAGTATAACACAATCGTTGCTCCGCTGATCTAGAACGATTTTTTGAGTGGATCGATGAACAAACGATCCAAGCAACTTCTACTCGGTTGAAAATTTTTAGCTAATTGCTCCAGTTTAGAATTGTCTCTACAAGTTCTACGCCTGTATACAGTTGTATTATCCATATCAACATTCTTGATCCGAGATCTTGGTTCAAGAATATTCACTCACTAGAATTATGAATCCAACGAGAATGGTCGCACCCATATTGCACGATCATATGAGGCACACACCATGAGGTCTTGGAGGTCATTCTAGAACTGAAACGAGTTCAAAACATCGTAGTCCCTCCAAGTTCGATTTGCTACACTCTTTTATTCAATCGTTCTACTAAATGGAAAAAAAACTATTGAAACTTTTGATTTTGAAAATGTAACAATTCTAACCTTATAAACTCTCTCAGTTCTTTGTCTCTATGATAAATTCAAGTGTTTAGTCTATTTTAAAAACAATTATCCTATCGAATACTATAACTAACCTTTAGTAAATCATGAAAGTCTTGCATGACTGCTTTTCGTTTGTCGTCACAACCATTCCATTGATTTGTACAAACAAGTGCAATAAAGATATTGAAATGAACACATTCACTAATCAATCCACGAATAAATTCATCATCGGCAAACGAACCCGGAGATGCACATAATATAACACACATTGGATTTTTTTGTCTAATAATATCAACGATGGATGAATCCCATGTTTTTATTCCTTTTGTATCCCAAATATTAATTCGAAATTGTTGAGCATCAACGTATCTCTCACTTGTTTGTCTATCAATAATTTCTGGAAAAGTACCATTGAGCTCATAACATGTTGACTCTTGTGTTATAGGAACTGGACCTGGACTGGTTGCAGCCAATTCTCTACCAATGATGGCATTGATTAATGTACTTTTACCTGTTCGTGGAGCACCACAAACAATAAAGGTGAATTCTTGAAGTTTATTTTCGACATAGTTAGCTACAAATGAAGGATTATTATTTGCACACTCTATCTGTGATGTACGCAAATTATTTGCACCAATCGTGACAGCAGAAGTCACTGGAATAGTTCGATTTCTGGCTCTTTTTTCCTCATTATTTTTGCTAGCCATCGGTTTCTTTATATGTAAATTATCTAAAACGACTAAACGTCATGTTTGAAGTGAAGACACAAATAGATATAGCTCTTCTTTGAGTACCTTTCTACATAGACCTTCATTATGATACGAACACGAAAAAAATAGTTGTAACATTGTTCGTGTATGTTTTGAGATTTTTTTCTCAAGATTTTAGATTATTGTATTTATTGAAAATAGTAAGCAACATGCATTTGAATCAATTTCTAGACAATGTGTATTGCACAAATTCAACTGAACACAGATAAAAAGAGGAAAAAAGGCAATGAATATTAATTTCTTGAGGACTAAAGATACAATGTAAGACTATCCGGACACTTCGTTTGGATATTCAACTCTACCAAGAAAGCGCGATCGAATCACATCGCACTGCATGATGATGCTACAGGACTCTGACTAATAGCCTGTCTTAAATTCATATTTGAGTGAAAGTATGCAGCAATTTTTACAACTTTCTTCTATAGTGCAACTCAGTCTTTCTGCTCAAGGCTTCCAATTAGAATGAGGTTAAATAGAGATTTATCAACGAAAATAAAGCACACGTTTGCATCATAAAATCAAATATCTTGTTGGAAAATCGACTCTGGAGATAGGAAGAAGAAGAAGAAGAAAAACACGTTGATAAACTGGAATTTTCTTTCTAGCAGTGACACTTGATATGAAACTATATCTACTTACAATTGACGAAAATGTTTAGCGAAAGTTCATCTGGTTGACTCAATGTCAAACGAATCATTTGTTTTTTTCATTTGATAGGCCAGAAAATATTCTATTCGACAAAAAAATCCACAGGTTTTATCTTGTCCCTATAAAAAGTTATTCGAAAAATAGTGCACTAATGTGTGCTATGGCATACAATACTCCTGGGGCTCAGGATATTCTATGGACTCCTTAACATCCATACCTGAACGAAAGCCAACATATGGTTATACGATACAGATATGAACATGACATGCGTATATATTAGGGATGCTGCTGGGCTATTGAAATCTCAAAGCTCTGTAGAGATCGAATACTCTGAGAGCATTCTTTGTCTAAAAAAAATTGTCTCGAGACTGCGAATCTGAATTAAAACTGTTGCTGTCTCCAATACTCTGACATCCGATTCGTTTCATATATGACGCTTAATTAACAAATTCTATATGATGTCGTATATATTAATCGATAGGCTTCTGTTTTCTCCGTTCAGGTCAGAGAATCATCTTATATAGAATGTGAGGCTCATCGTGTAGAGAAAACAGGAAATCGATCGAAATATCAGAGAATATATAAGAGGATAGGAATCTAGGAAGCATCTTGTGACAGTCAGCACTCTCACTACCCTCACATGAAAAGAGAAAATAGACACATGAGTCATTTATTTGGTTTATTCCAAATATCGAGTACTTCACATGAATAGAAAATAGGAATGCATGAGTCATTTACTTGTTTTATTTCCAATATGCAGTGTCTCACATTGTGCTGTCAATAATGTTCACATCGGAAGTTGTACAGTCGTAATTGGTTTGAGAGTGAAGCAATAACAGTATGTTGTCATAACTTCCATCATTTTTCTTTTCTATTCTTTTCTTCCTTTGCAACCTTGAAATGAATTATGAAAAAAAAGAAGTTTGTCGATTTTTCTTTTCACGAAGAACGAACAGTAAATCAATCTTTTCGTCATTCTTTATAAGCAAAGGTGTATAGATGAAGTGAATAGTTGTTTTGACTTTCATTTTGTCTGTTCCATTAGACGGTAAAAAAAAACGTCCCAATCTCACACAAAACAAGCCATATTTTTCCCGGAGAACACGAGTAGTGAATGATAGTGATCCTTTACTCGTCTTTAGGACAAAGTTAGGAGTTGAGTTTTGAAGTTGAGGCAAAATAAAATGGAGAAGAATTGTGTCATTCAGTTATGAAATTTAAATATTTTCAAGGACAATACATTTTAAGTTTTCTTTTCAGTCAAATCTAGACATTGTACAATTTTTTTCCAAGAATGAACACCATTTTGTTTTTCAACTAGAAAATGAAGCTGTTCTATCCTTTTAGAATGAAATATCAGTTAGGATAGGATATAAGAGCTTTCAGCATTTTCCTATCAAGCTTTTATTGTTCTCACCCTCTCCGACAGATCTGACAGATATGTCAACATGTCTGGCACCCTATTCGATAGTCTGGGTTTTAATTTCTTGATAGACCACGACAGACGTCATTAGATTTGGCTATAATGGTTCAAGTGGCTCTATCATATTTGATGTCTTGTTTTCTTTATCGTATACGTATGTAGTTAGTGTGACTGCTCGTATGTGAGCAGAACAATTTTGATTGTAATTTTGAAAACAATAGAAAACGACTTTGAACATTAGAATCTATAAAAGATAAATAATCTCTTCTGTTTTCTGAAATTATAGCACATAGAATCCACAATGTATTCTATTCAAGTTCATGTTCGCCGTACAGGTGAAATGGTTAATATCGATGTGATCCCATCAACGACTACGTACGATGAAATCATTAGAAAAGTTTGCGAAAGAATCAATGAACCAGAACCAAGTCATTATTATTTAACATTAAATTATGAAGTTGAATTAAGAAACGATGAGGTATTTCAGTCACAATCGCAAGACGGACGATATCAGCTAATTATGCGAACAAGATGGTTATTGGAGTATTTGGCTGAAAAGGAAAAGCTAAGAAATTTGTTGATTCAAGAAAAGATGATGATGAACGGTAAAGTGAACTTAACAAAAAAGAAGATTTTTGTGAAACACGATTGAAAATGAGTGTTGAAGTATATAGCGAGAAAATTGAACCCCTTCCCACCTCCCACCACAGGTCGTGACAAACAGAATTGATAAAGCTTCCAACTGTCACCATGATCTATATAGTTGAGACTCTGCTTAACAAGTGCAACGAATTCATCATGTTTTACATTTGAATCCCGAGGGGCTTGCGCTGAAAGCTTTTTTACGAGAAATTTTGCTCAAAAACTATTTTCTTTAACTCAAACATTTTCTGTTTCATTGGATTATCCAGATCTACATGTCTTCGAGATTATTCTGACCCAGAATATATGCAGACACACTGTTTGTTGTTTGTTGAAAAAACTGAATGAAAATACCATTTCAAAAAAATGTTCACTGGTCTTTTCACGCTCATAGCAGTCCGATGTACATAGGTTTTGTGGGTCCAAAGCTTGCTCTTTAATAGCAAGATTCCATCGATTAACAAGCTGTACCGTAGTAAAGTCTTGCAATAATTCTATTTCAGACCTAAATTGAGCTACAGGCCTATAAATTTCATTACAAACTTCTGGACGCATGAGAAATTATTACTAAAATTTTCAAAGAAACTAGTAGAGATTAGCTCGAGTTATCGACATTAAACTGGAGAATAGGGCTTACTACTTGGTGAAATTTTTTGGTGTAAAAATCAGATCTCCCTTATTTCAAGATGATTTTCCATCAAATTTTTACGAGAGGAAGCTGCATCATTAGATTGTCAAATGAGAGATTGTGCGAACATAAATGTCGAAGATGAGCGAGATACAATTTTTATAATGTGAGAACAGTGTTCAATTAATAACTCCAGAGTATGTCTGCCGACTAAGGATAGGGTGGTACCTGTTACCTAGCTCACATGAGCTCTATTCGTAATAATTAGAAATGTGAAGACTATCTATTGAGGTTGAGACAGAATTCAACTATTATCGGAATCTTTTAGTAACGACCGTGTATTCGTCGATAATAGAAAGAATCGATAAGTCGCTCCCTATTTTTATATATTATATGTATCTGATCCTTCGCTGGAGTGTAAAGAGATATATTGGTTTATATTGTCTTATTTATTAATATTGTTTCTGATTCAAAACTTTAAATAGTGCGAACTATTTTGTTTATAGTTTTGCCAACTGCTCTATCATATGCGATCGAAGATTCAAGCCAGGAAACAACGGAGACTAGTATTGTCAATGAGCGACTAAATCACATTGTTTCAAACTCCAATTCAATAGCATCATCATCTAGCAATGAAAATAATCAGGATATTCCTCATGATGTTGTTCATGCCAATATTCCGCATATATCACGACGAGATATACAAAATTATCTACATCAAGCTATAGGAAAAACGTTTGATATTATGTTAATGGGTTCGCCTAGAGTTGGAAAAAGTACACTGATCAATGCCATTTTACAAAAAGATGTAGCTCAAACACATGCCGGATATAATGCATGTACGAAAGAGTCTTGTTATTATGAATATGAAGAATCTTATATTACAGAAACCGAAGGCAACACGACAAGAACATCAACAAGTTCAATTCGAATTTGGGACTCACCAGGTATTCAGGATTGGACAAGATTAAATGTGACAGAATATGTACAAGATTTAATTAACAAAAAAAATCCAGTATGCCTCATTTTTTGTGCATCACCAGGTACCTATGTTGAACTTGAACAACTCAAAGGTATTGTTGAAGCATGCAAAAATTTAAAAGTATTCATTGCAATGGTCGTAACAAACATGTATGCATCGGATGAAGCAGATATCATCTTGAAATTATTTCAGGACACTCTAATTCATCATCATGTACAAACAAAAGTCGAAAAGAATATTTATTATTATGGTCCCGTTGGTCTTTGCACTCAAGTCAATTCAATTGATTATGTAGTAGACGATATTAGAAAGAAGCCAGAAGGTGTCCATGAGTTAATGTTAGGCATTATGAATTCATTAAACGATGAGAAACTGTTACAATGGTGTTTTGCAATACAAAACAATGCTCCATTCTGGGCTAGAGCCCAAAAACGAATTTGGAGAGTATATTCTTCTTTCAAACGTTTACTTAGTCTTTGATGTTTCTCTATACATGTTAAAAAAAATTTTCACTTTCAACACTTGTACACTCACAGAAGATGTAGATATGTATGGACTTATGGGAAGAGAGAAATAACATACTCATACCGTCACAACTCCCACTCCCACCCTTATTTTGTAAAGTTTTCAAGAATGCATAGATCAATTATTTCATCCGATGTTGTATCGATGTATGTTTATTAGGAAAGCAATCAATAGAACTCTAAAGCATACAACTGATTCTTCTTCTGGTTTTTCTCTCTATGTTGCCAAAGCATCTACTTGATAATTGTACGCGCAGAAGTCCTCTTGGAATCAGCATAGCTTCATCAGACTGTAGACACTCACGAAATGTGTTTTCATCTCACAGTTGTCATTGATTGATGTTGAGTTCCGTTGTTGAGGATTATCGAGTAGATAAAGAGAATAGCAAGAAAAGGAAAACAGAAGATGAATGAGAGATTCAAATTGAACAAGTGTCTAAGCAACTGGATCACTTGATGGGCAGAAGTTAGTAATCCATGTGTCAAGGTCTTTCATATTGTAGCAGAAGGTTTCCGGATCAGGTTCTGCTTTGAAAACCAGTTTACCCTGATACATGACATAAAAACGAAAAGGCCAAGATCCGTAAGTATTATGAAAGGTATTCTCCATATTGTCGACAAGCATGAGCATTTCGAAATTAAAATTCTCTTTGCATTGACGAGCATTCTTAAGTCGTTGTTCGAGTGTTGTTGGCTGATCCACACATGAAATCGTTTTGCCTACAGGCCATTGATCACGTGCGTGTGCTTCAGCAATGTAAATCACCAATAATTGCATTACTTTCGGCGTGTACGAGCGAAATAGCGCGCTATAAGCAAAGACTAAAGAGTGAATTTATGAATAATATATGAAATACATACTTCATTCGCTCGGCTGACGCCCGAAATGGAGGTCAGCTAGTTGAGCCGGCCAATACAATCAAAGGTTGATCGGCTGACATATGTGAGAAGAGAGTTGTCGGATGACCTTCCATGGTAAACAAATCAACATCTTGGACACTTTCACCACAATTGACCAGACCTTGGGTGACCTTATTGTGCTTTACTAGAAATCAGTAAACAAAAAAATATTTAATTTCATTTCCATCAACAATCCGAACACTATCATTCGACACAGAATCAATAAGGAATGATTGACCGCTTTTTCCTACTACTTCTCCAAGCCATTGTTCACTAACATAGCTTAGTATCAGTTTTTTAGTGACGTTTGACGAAAAAGATGTGTTCCAATAGTGTCAATGTGGAGAAGAACTCTTTAGGACGCAAGTAGAAGAGAAGCACTTAATTTTATCTCATATTCTAGGTACTAACATTCGCAAATAAAGACTTTTCTGAGTAAAAAATCAGTTGTATGATTTCCACAGAGTGATGAAAACTTATCACAGTAAATATTTTGGATAATACTTGAATCCTTTATCGTTGAAATACGCAAAATGATCTTCAGTAATTTCCAGTATTTATAACTCGAATAGCTTAAATCCAACCAGATCTATCCCTTCGAGTATTTTTCAACAAAAACTTACCATAAAATACTTCCTTGACAACAGGATCATTCGGAAAGCGATACAGAGCGGTACGCAATGCATTCACATGTTGATATCCGAAATGTTCGACGACATGTTGTTGAATAAGATCGTGTATCAAACTAGAGTTTATAGTTATAGTTAGTTAAAGATAACAAAATGACAATACTCACGTTACGCTATCTTCATCAGTATGATACAAGTCCATGAGCTCTTGAATCGACTCGGATAATCGAAGACGTGTTTCATACATAATCATCTCGCGTAGTGTCTCAATCGGTGGTAGTTCATCAGAATTCTTTACTTTATCGAAACCCATCCGACCTGAACTGGGGAAGAACATACGACACATTCGCTTTGAATTACGAGCGCGCGACTTTGGTGGACGTGGCTGCTGTGATGCTGGCGAGGGAATAGGTCGTGCCGAAGACTGATTGTTAGTCACTGGTGGCGGTGGTGGTGGTGGTTCTTGAGCAGTAATTGCCGCTCTAGTCTTCTCTTTAATAACAGTATCTCGTTGTTGCTCGGGATCTATCGAGTGCTGTTCATGCTCGGCAGTAACTTCGTTAGATAACGTCCTTTTACGCGACATTCTTTCACCGTTTTCTCGTGACATACGAAGGGAAAATGAGAAATAAGCACTTTTATAGAAGAAAAAGTGAAGAGAACAGTAAAATATGTTCTTGCACCATCATGTTGTCATATGTGCACACGATAAAGCTGCTGAATGTAAAAGATGTAAAAGTGATTCATAACGAGTAAAGACGTATGGTGAACTATAACGAAATGGACGAAGAAAATGGCGTCATCTTCTTGACTAGTTTTTAAAATGCACAATGTGATTCAAAAACCATACTTTGTTCGTAAAATTTAGAGAATTTAACCGAAATTTTATTTCTACTTATTGTAACAATAAACATGTAATATTCCTCTGTAATAGTGAAAACTGTGACGATCGATGGAGACCCTTCGTTCTGAGAATGAGATATGCTTATGTTTTTGTTTGCGAGCGAATTGCGATGCAGTTACGCGCAATTGTGAAAAACATTCAAAGTTACGCGTAGTTGCGAAAGAAAATTGTAGTTACGCACAACTGCGATTTTTTTCACAATTGCGCGTAACTGCGTCGCAATATGATCATTACTCCGATGCAACTGCTAAAAAATATCCAACATGGGATGGAGAGATTTTTCGATATGTCGAGCAATATGGAAATTCTGATATATTGTCATCGGTATGTAAGATACAAATATCACAGAATTATTCAGACGTTACCATTACAGAAGAACACTAGATGTTTCTTCTACAATAACACAAAAATTAAAACAGATCCAAAACTCTATATTTTCTCACCAAGACAACATTTTTTAGTCAAACCCTGTCTGGAATCCTTAAGATAGTAGTATGATTATTTGACTGAATTGAACAGCACAATCTAAATGTCTCCACTGTAATTGGATGAAAATGTCTAATAAATGAATATTGTGAAACCTTTTCTATCTTGAAATTAAACAAACATGTTTGTCTGGGTGTGAGTGTGAGTGTATGGGTGTTGATCTTTTCTTCACCCATGCACACCCCTAGTCACACCTACACCATACTCATATCCACACCCATCCGCAACTACACTCTATTCCTCACGTGATCAATGGTCAACTGTATCAAACAACGTTTCAAATCATTAGACAACTACTGTTCAGACTTGGTTGTGTCTGATCATTGATAACTATTTTATGTTGAGTAATTAGAGAAGCGAACATCTACTTATCATTCTAAGAATAAGTTTATGAATTGTCATTCGAAGCGATGAAATTAAATCATAACACCATCAAATAAATAGATTAGTTGATTTCGATTTCAGATTATTGTCGATCCCTTGCACATGACTTTTCTCAAACGACTTAGTCTTCACTATCGTGAATTGGAAAAGAATTCAGCTCCATTACGTCATGAAAAGCCTAAAGATCCTAAAAAGAATATGACTCATCGGATTGGTTATATTGATGGACCAGAAGAAACACCATTTGCTGGTGGAAGATTTCATCTTAATATTGATTTTCCAGCAGAGTTTCCATTCAAACCACCACATATTCGTTTTATTACATCAATTTATCATCCAAATATTAGTACAGAAGGTGAAATGTGTTTAGATATTCTTCATTCTCAATGATCTCCAGCATTAAGTATTCGTGCTCTCTTAATATTGTTATGTTCATTATTAGCAGATCCCAATGTTGAACATGGATTGAATAGAGACGCATTGAAACTTTGTCAAACGGATAAGCAAAAATATGAAGACATAGCAATAGAATGGACAAGAAAGCATGCTGATAATCGTCAAAGCCTCAAGTGGTGAAGATTTTATAAAATATCAATAGGATTTCAACGAATAGTTTTTTTTATATGAGGGTGTGTGTATGTGTATGATCTTCTCTTCATCCATACCCACACCTACATCCCACATCCATACCTACAAAGTATAAATAAATAGAAGACAAAAACAATATAAAACAAATATAACAATATGAATGGAAAAGACAATTGAATTGTCGAGAGATTTAATTCTATCCAATAATATTACATTCATAATAATATTATGATCAGTCATGTTACCCTCGATTGATTAATCTACGCTTCACTATATGCTAGAGGATATATCAATAGTTAGAAGAAACGTGAGCAAGTGAATATTGGTATTATATATATAATTTTTTAAATACGACATTTTTACTATGTCAAAAATTATTAGATTGAATACATCGACGTAGAGCGTGGGACTATAATAATTACCTAATGACTTGAAGTTAATTTTAAGATTAAAACTTTATTCGTAGAAAGTTTTCGCATAGATGTCAAAAAAAGTTTTATATATATAAATTACAGTATCAAATGCGTTAATTGTTAAGAAAAATTTTCATTCACAGCTGGATGACATTCGAGTTTTACTCGGCTACGAAATGCAGTGTGAAACGTCGAATGTTGATTATCGAGAGACTGACAATTCGTAGAAACGAACTATTGTCTTCATGATTGACTTCAACACTTTTCTTCTTGAATATACTACATTGTTGATGAGAGAAGAGTGTCCGTCCATTTTTCTCATCGAGTCATATCTAGTGTGTGTTGTGTCTTGATTTCTAGGCATAACTTCATTCCATAAATAAATAATAAGATGTATAATCCTTGTCCTTTTTATTGTCATGATGTTAATATTATTATTATTATTATTGGAATACAAAAAAAAAATCAAGAAGAATAAGGAGAAAAAAAAATTAAATCCTATTTTCTAAACAAGTGGATAGCTGGCAGACGTAGCAATACCACATTCATTGCGTTTATTACGAGTCATTCTGATGTAACCTTTTTCACCCCAGTTTACACCCCAACTAGAAATAATTATAAGATAAAATATTCAATAAGAATCAAGTATAGCAATTACTTGTTTTTGACAATCCAGTAATCTTTACCAGATTCTGTACCATAACCTACAGCAAGAACGGCAAGGTCAAGATGGATTTGTGAGCAGAATGGTTCGTGGTAGACTAAATTAATCAATTTGAAATGACTGAAAAATTTACGAAAATACAAAAACTACATACCACCCTGTTTGTATAATTGAAATGACCTATGACTAGCATCAATGACAACCGAGATTGGACCAATGGTAGCAACAGCTTCTTGAAGAGCACTTTCATTTTTTGATTGAATATTGTTGAAGCCAGTAACAGTAGCACCAACAGTTTCTGCTTTAAATCGGCATTGATTATCGTCGTCTTCATATGGATATGAGTCTTCGGTATCAATACCACTGTTGTCCTTAATGTATTGAAAGGCTTGATTGACTTCACCACCAACACAACCCATGTTACCTTGTTTGCCTGAACAATCGACTAAATTTTGTTCTGAGAGTGAAACTAATTTGCCAGTTGCATTGAAATGTTGACCTTCAAGTGAGCCAGTTGCTGAAAAAGCCCAGTCTGAAGTACATTGACCTTGTTCTTTAACTGGAGTAACATAACCTTTTTCACGCCAGTCTATAAGAAAACAATAAAATTGCTGTATAGAAGATAATTTCTATTAGTAATTTTACATACCAACAGTATCTGGTAATTTAACAGTTGGATTTCGTGTAAATTCATGACGATCTTTATTACGTTGATCATTCATTGTGACCTTGTAACTGTTCATCATTTTAGCAAATTCAATAACAGTCTATTTTTTAATACAAAATAAAATTTGTAGTAACATCTATAAAATTTTTACCAAATCAGCAAATTTATTCATTCCGAGCCAATATGTATAAACACCAAGGTCAGCTTGAAGATTGTGTTTTTGTACTTGCTTTAAATTACTTTCCCATATAGCTCGACTAAAAAAATAATGTTGTTTTTTTAAATAATTAATCAATAAAATCTGTAGATTGAAATAAATATTTCATACCGAATATGTTCTTCAACATCGGAATAATGTTTATTATGAGTTTCTTTCCATAATTTCCAATGTTGATTAAGTGTAATATCGAGAGCCAATGTACAGCTAAAAACTAGTACAAGAATGGCAAGAACCGAACTAGACTGCATCTATATCAACAATTCAAAAAATAATCATTCAAAACTGGATTTTGAGTTTTTTTATCTCATCTTTTACTCACCTTCGTTTATTGTATGATAAAAGAGAGTGCGATTTAATTGTGACTTCACACAAGCTGTTATACCCTGACTTTATCTTATTTTTCACATGTCTTCTATATCATTATCTTTCATGGTGAAGCATATTGTTACCATTCCTTTACATATTCATAACTTCATCGTGTTTTTTAATGTCCTGCATCTACTCAGGACAATAAAAGATTAATATATACGAAATACCATCATCAAAGTGAAGACAAATTTATTATTGGTACCTCAAAAAGAAAATTCTAGAATTAGTCTATTATAAAAATTATTTGGTGTTTTTCGAATTTTGCATGAAAAGAAAGACTAGAAGAATTTAACTTGTACACGAGAAATTTGGGCGATTTAGTAGCGGTAATGTTTGAAATAGATGTTCGACTCACATTTACTATTGCTTCAGAATCGATTGTTTTCAAAATTATTGCAAAAAAATACTTTTACTAAGATGCAGTGGTGGCAGTGAAAGTAATAGTAGTACTTGTTGTGATTGACGAAGAGAGAACAATAGCTACAGAATTTGCTATGTTTTTACCGTGATATCCGAGCACATTTTCGTACTGTTGTTCATTTAAAAAAAGAAGGCGCATGGATGTTTGTCCATGGGCCTGATGAGTATACGAAGAGCAGTCGATAAACCAATTTTCATAGCATAAAGAGATATTGCAGTATATCCTGGATATGTCAATATGGATCTGATGCTTTTCAACTGTCACCGTACATTTAAATAACTTTATCACATAACAAATGAAGGCTTGAAACAAAATTGATGATGCAAAAAGAAAGTTTAAGGATTTGTCATCAATTTTGAACGTTGGATTGTATTCAATGAAGAAAATGCACAGCCCTACTTCTGAATCAATAGTAACGAATCGTATGTAGGACGGATGCAAAATGACGGATAAAAAAGTGGCACAATAAGTAACGTCATCTGGAACATTTTACCATTCAGAGAGATAGTTGAAAAGTCATGAGTGACTGCACAGATTTACAAAGTGCTTTATTCTCTATTTGCTTATCGGTTATTTTTCTCCAAAAATGAAACCATCCACTCCATTGTCTCTTGTGCAAACACACCATCATTTCCATAAAAAAGGCGAAAAGGAAGTAAGCACATCAATTAACCTTTGTGTTATTATGGCCAAATGAGAAAACTTGTAGACTGTTATATTGTGAAGGTTTGCAATCAAATCATCTTAAAAATAAAACATAGATTATAATTAATCATGTGGATTTCTATCTATTTATCGAGGATATTTCTATTTGATTGGCTTTGGAGGACTGAATTTTCAATTTATTGGTGTAAGTATTCGAACTGAACAAATAGAAGTAAGAAAAATATAAGTAACTGAAGATGATTAGATGAGAATTTTTCCGGTTTGAGACAGGTAGTCAGGTATTTATTTTTGAAAATAAAAATGGAACAGAACTTCTTATTGGTCTTACATGCTTAATAAGAATAAGTCATTTGTAGATACGAGACAATAGGCCTCGTAAAAAAAATATAACTTTGTAAAAGTGATATCGAGATAAAAACGAATGTTGATACACCTTATTGGTTTCTTCAGTGTGAGACAACATATTGAACTGAAGATATCTGTATTGCCGACGCATGAATATCATCCTATTGATTTTGTTATTTAAATTTCGTGACTTCAAATTGAAAGAATTCAATGACCAGAAATAAGCATTTCTGTCTTCAGCTATGTTTGAATGGTATAAAGTCGTTATTTCGACGACATATTCTCTCTGTTGTATTCACCGATACGGAAAGACTTTTTTTAATAGTCTTGCAATGTGATCCAAGAAACTCTTTACAGAAAAATTATTATTTTTTCGAGTCTTTGGAAAAAAACAATCATAAGAATCGACTATACACTATCTTTTCAAAAAGAATTGTATCAAAATCCAGAACACAATTGTCTTTACAATGAGTAACATGCGAGAACCTTGACAGAACACTATCGCTCATAGGTTACGTAAATTGACGAGTAAAAAGTTATTTTTCTAATAAAACTTTCTACTCTGTCATCCATTTCATTTAACCAAGATGTATGGTATTGTTTTGCCATTGTACACATTTGTTAATGTTGACGGATATGTTTTTGCTTTATATGTAAGTACATTGTCGGATCTTGATTTGACACTTTCAAGTAAGATTTCTACCATTCGATCAATATCGAAAAGTGGATAATCAGTTGTATCAATCAAATTCAGAGTATATTCGTTTTGAAAACGAATATTATCGATAATATTTCGCACTTCTTTTCCTTTGTCTTGCCTTAAGACTATATCTGCTTTCATTTCATTTTTAGTCAAAGGTAAATTGATTTTTCCGAGAATTACATCACAAGCATACCATGCTTGAATATCTCCAATATTAAAATTGAATGTTATACGCTGCATACTCACATAGAGCAAACGAGATTGATTCAACCAAAATATTGTCTTATATTAATTCGATGGATAAAGACAATTTGTCGTTTTCAAACGACGATTA